GGGCCATTATGCTCCAGCTCCCTTCTGCGCTGCCCGGCGGGCTGGCGGGCGTACCCTCAGCGCGCCACTCCGCAAGCCAGGTGCTCCGTACGTACCGCCTCTGGGCTGCTGCTTTCTCTGTCGGCGAAGTGCAGAGGCTTTGCACACAAGCAAAAACTTGGCCCAGGCGGTGACAAAGGAAGAATTTCAAAAACAGAAGTCAGAAGGTGTAGAGAATCTCTCTTTCTCATTCTCTTTTTGGAAGACCTTCCCAGATTCAGGGGTAACGCAAGACAAGTTCGCAGATGTTTTCGAGTGTGTATCAAGGGTATGAGCCACTGTCCAGCAATACAAAATATATGTTTCTTTAAATGTATTGTAAGCTTTCCATCCTTCCCGAGTGATCTCTAACTTCTCACACCTTCAGTGATTCCGAGGTGGGAGGGGGGCAGTACTGAACAGACAAAATGAATGGGGAAAAAAACGCAACCAACCAACCAAACAAAAAAAAGAAACCCAGAAAAACAGTAAAAGGTAAAGTTTCAGTATGACAATTTTTCATGTGATGGAGACTTCCAGAAAGGCCTGCTACTCACAGTGGGTTAGTACACATTCTTTCAAGGGATTTACTTTACAAAGCGAATTCAGGATATTCGCTTTGGCTTCAGCATTTCATCTTTAAAACCATCGATAGCTCCGAACTCGTGCCACAGGACCTCGGATCAGTTTCTAACCCAAGCTGTTGCTTTCCTGCACACTGAAGCGCTGGTTGAATACAGGCTTAGGAACAGCCTTCACCTGCACACAAAGCCACTTGCGTAGGCCACAGGCTTGGGATCTGGGCTCCAAACTTACGGTCGGATAAACTCGGCGCTCTGCTGTTATATGAGAAACCAGAACATTCCCGAGAAGGAAAGACATAGATGAAAAATTAGCAAAGCAATTATCATTACCAAAAGTAGGAAACTAATTTAAGTTTTTAATTCCAATCCTTTAAAGGTTGTTTTCTAACTTGCAAGTGCTGAAGACAAATCCTACCCTGAAGGCCAACTTATTGCGTGTTCTCTTTTTTTTTTTTTTTTAACTTCTTTGGAAAATACTTGCCTTGCAATAAGAAAGTAGAGAGACATGAGGTTGTTAAGTGATCTGAATATTGTCTTACAAGTATTTAAAGAGATTTGTGATAACGGGCTCTTCCAACAGAGGTACGCAAGATCCAACCGCTGAAAATTTAATTTGGAAAAAATCAAAATGGAAAGAATTTTTAAGAATTAGGCTACTGGAATAATTCACATAGGAAACTGTTATTTTAAAAGACATTAAAAAAAATAAATTTTTCTTCTGCTAAAGCTGCTCACCAGCTTTGCCCCTTACCCGGCTGTATCCGTGGTTCTCTCCAGAGGGTCTTTCCCACATACAGAACCATCTTAAGCCTTTCTCATCGCTTCCAAACTGCAAGGCAGGGTAGCACCAGGACTGAAACAGCACAACGATGCTATAAAAGAACAAGTTCCTTCACCAGCTGCAAAGGGTCGGGCTCACAGGGTTTATCAAGGACATTGTGTGGCTCTAACGCCTCTTTGCTGTATCCACTGCTCTTTACCTCCCTCACAGGCATGGTTGTGTGCAGGGCGAGGATGCTCATCACCAGGAGAGGACCTTGAAAAAAAATAAACTTAATGAAAACTGAGCGTTTACTATGCTAATTCTGGCAGAAACTTAAATTACCACCTCGTCGTTTAGGTTTTTTCCTCTCAGACAAGTGTCCTTACACGTAGCACAAGCGAACGGCTACCTGATCGCTGGAAGTTCACTGGGGAAAAGGTACATGATGTTTAGACGGGAGGAGGTGGGGAAAAAAAAGCCAAGCACCTGGAAAACACTTCATTGCTTCTTTATTTAGATGCACCCACAGTACAGAGCCTCTTGAGCATGTGCAAAAGAGGAAGATTACACATTTATAGCTGGGAGCACCATTGAGTTCGAGTTTCTTTGATACCATTTTTAAGAAAGTAAATTATTTCCAAAGAATGACATTTGAATCCAAGAGCTTAAGACCTGCTTGTACTTTATCCAGAGGTGGAAGGTATTTTTCTTTTATTATTACTTGGATGTAGAGTAGAAGACATTATCACAGTCTGGTTGGACCAGTCTATATATTTTCATATGCACCTTTTAATATATATAAAAAATGTTTCATTTTTCCCCCCTACCCACAGATAGTTAGATGCATCGAAGTTTAAAAACGGTAATGGACCAGAGCATTCCTATGGGGAAAAATGAACTTTTGCTGCCCTCTCCTGCTTAAACAATGAAATGCTAAAATATTAAGATCTATGATTCTAATGCTAACCTTGAAACAAAAAGCATGACAGGTCATTCGCTATACTACAATCAAAAATAGGACAACAACAAGAAATGTATCGGTACTATTTATATTTGAAAACTCCTCATCGTTACATGAGGTTATGAATACAACATATTTACAGTAAGTGATCCAAATAACAAAAACTTGTATTCAGAGAGGTCATGATAAAAAGCGTATGCTTCCCTGGATGGGGAAGTTTTCAGTCAAAATTAGCTCCATTCTGTTTCAAGATACTGCTTCATAGACTTCAAAATGAAAAACTGGGCTATACAAAATCTGCTGCACAGATCAACTAGAAAAACTAATTCGTGGCTCACTCCAGAGCTGCTGAGGGAAGCAGGTGAGCCAAAATAAAAAAGCCACACGTAAATAAAAACCATCTTCAATCTTGCGCATTGTCACCTTTGTCTTGTTTTAGGGCAACTGCTTTGGGATGGTGGTGGTACACAATTAAGAGAAAAGGCTACCTTTGTTTTCCAAGACAGAACTAAAAGCAAATTATTTCAGTGTTACTTGGGGGGAGAAGAATCTAGTATTTCTGCCTCCTCACAAAACAATGAAGGGGTCTTTAAAGCTCCTAATGTATTTTCCTTTCCATAGAGCGAGGGAGCCTGAGGCTGTACTCACGCACGTGTAAGTACAGCTGCTGCATTTCTTACTGAAGCAATTCTTGGCTCCAACACCCTCGATTTTTCCATATATAGGAGGAGATAAAAAAAATAAATTAAATCCTTTTATTTATGCTAACAAAACCAAGATTAAATTTACTGTAACTCTGCTAGTGAACACTCCAATAGCATTAGAATACTTTCATTTAAAGCATTCCAACCTTTGGAAGAGAGACAAAAAACACTCAAAAGCAATGAAAGAAAAACAATACGGGAGACTTGCAAGATGAAGAAAGCAATGTGTGCTCCATTTAAAGTATATGAGAGGAACTTTACTTTTACAGTTGTTATATCCCCATGACCCAATGCAATGCCCTAGTATTGAAAATGCAGCTCTTTCCTTCTACCAGAGAGCATTCAATCCTTTCTCCTGAAACCAATATGGTACAGGACACGAGCGACCGCCCAACAACTGCTGTACGAGCAGTTAATAAAAAACATTTACACAAAAAAAAGGTAGTTTCTGAACTCAACAAGCAAATGAAAGCATAATTAAATAGACGCACTGATCACACTTGGGCCCATACACTGCCTTCTTCTTTGCCTGCAACTCCGACTGATAGCAATGGGAGCTCTGCAGAGCGGCAGGACATCGCGTTTGGATTGCGGCAAAGAGTGGATCCCGGGGGTACGCTCATGTCATTGTGGCAAGTGCTTCTTCTCGTACATCGCACAGTGCAACCTAGTGTCGTATCAGCCTTTTAGAGTCAAGTGACTAATATCACATCGTCTCATTCACTTTAACGCAACATTCCTTCTCGGAAGTGATAAATCATCTATAAACTTTAGATATTCCCCACTATCCCCACATCAGAGGTAACATCAGAGTTAACAAAATATTGCAACCCATCAGGTTCTCATCAGGTTTGTATGATCAATACCAGAATGTCATGTCAAAACCAAAAATAGTTACGAACAAACAACACTCACCTAAACTCTAAGTACAGGACAAGGTGCTTTTTCTAATTTCACATCGTTGTGTTTTACTCCACCACGTGGAAAACATTAATCTTTTTTCCTCCATCCTATCTCAGTTTTTCACAATTGAACATAGTCTTTAAGCATGAGTTTAAGTCCACCCTCTTGTAAAGCATGATCATTTCACACAGAAATCACACTAGCAAGCATTTTTGGGTATCAGAAATAAAAGACTGTCAAAATCAATGGGCTAAGGGACATGATTTGTTATAAATTTATTTAATCTTCAGTATTTCAGCTTGCACCTTTGCTTCAGCACTTTAAAATAAAATGTTTCAACTATGACAGTCACTGCCTACTTTACATTGCGTCCCAGTCAGTGTTCTTAAAAGAAGCTCATATTAATCCCATTAAACCATGTTGTGTTTGGTGTTGCATATGACTAGTTCCACTTGTTTTCCAGAATTAACAGTGTCAAGTTTTTACAAAATCGTTGAGTTTACAGCATTTGTGTGCGCAGACCCGGGAGTACAAACTGTGACCTGATAATCCTGAAACAGTCAGTAGTCTAGGAGGGAATTCTTTTTTACCTCTTTTCCGTGCCTGAAAACATGAAAACTTCAAATCCTACTGTATATTTAAATGGTAGGAAGAAAAATATACAAGCTTGTATTTATACTGTACTTCTATCAATGGCAACAGGTCATAAATTCATGTTTGCAACTATCACAAAGACTCATGAACACCAATTCAGTTTTATACTGCAAATACTGCTGGATTGATGGTTTAGGATTATCAATTCACTGTTGTCATATGTCCATAACAGTTCAAAAGCATCCTGGAGAAAAATCCTGAAACACATACCTTTCGGTATATAATAATGCAACTGCATTAGCTAAATATATACTGTACATAAGTCTTATCAGCATTTTACCTACCAAAGATGTAAGATTCCACTTTCAAATACAAAGCAGATAGCCAATAATGTATACTTATAATACAGCCCTCTTCTTTGTTTTTGTATTTTTTTTTCTCTTTTGTTTTAAACAATTTGGTCACAATGCACCTTTGATATAAAAGCATTTTAAACTTTATTATTAATACTCAGAACATTAGGATTTCCAGAATTTTTTTCAGTAGCATTTGTAGAACCACTTTTGGTAACAAATACAGTAGTTAGGAATGAGCATCCAGATGAGAATGCAGAAGTATATTATCCAGAATCCTTTCCAGCTAAGACCATAGGGCTGGTATTGTGATGTGTAATAGTACTAAAACCACAAAAACACTATAGTATGTTTCTTAGAGGCTACATCCTCTTTTGCTGGAACACTTTATAAATACATATTAAAAAGTAAGGCAACAACTCCAAACAGTCCAAACTGCCATCTCAACTCAATTTCCAATTAGATCCATGACCACTGGAGATCAATTTCATGCTTGCACTGTTTAGCGTTTGTCTTTATTCTTTCAAAATGGTCCAATAAAAACATAGCGTAATAATTTAGCCATTAGTATTTCTAAAACAACTCCGGTATGTGTGTCCAATGCCGTATCACTAATACTGGTTAGGTACTGAAGTCCAGGGTGTTACCACTGCCCATTTTTAAAGGATTGTGGACACTAATTTGGATTTGCAATAAATAGGTGCATGAATCCAAAGCTCCCTTTCCTACTATGTTTATCACCTACTTGTTTTTTAACTCCTAATGTTCAAATTAAGGAAGCACCAGAGACACCCTGGTACTAAAAAAATGCTCACACCAGTAAACAAAACTTTTATTCAGGACCTATGTTTTTCATGGCCCTGATCTGAATGGACATTCAACTTATGAAGATGTGCAAAAGGAAAAAAAGTCAAATTACAGTAAAGTTATCCAGAGAAGGAGGATGTTACACAAACTCATAAGGAAATGACAGTCTTTTTTCTCTTTTACTATAAATACACTTAACAGTTTAGCAGAAAGACAAGCTAAATTTTAAGATTGTTCACATTTGAAAGTTGTATTACACTCTCTGCTAACGATAAATAAGGAACAGGTCCTGACAATGGAATTTGACATTGCAATTTTCATCAACAGATCTTTGAAGACTGGTTTTAAAGAAGGGTTAAAACAATGATTATGTTTGCAAAGTTCTGAGAAGTCCATCTGCTGTCCAAACTTTGGATTAAAGTCCTTATTTTTTCCTTTACTTAGAGACAGGTATATACAGTGCTGTTGTAATAATGAAACAAATGTGAAATCTACTGTAAAGTTGCACAATACAGAAAACTGTTGCTCCATCTTCTACTACATAAATGTGTGACTCCACAGGTTAATAATGCTGTTTTGTTTTTTTGTTAAGTTGGAATTATTCCATCACGTCTAAGACCTCTCTTTAATTCCAAATCCTCCAGTTTTTTCCACAGTTCTTCACGCTCTTTCTCTTTCTTCTTCTCACTGACAGATGAAATAAAGCAAAGAGTTAGCAGGAGAGAAGACCGTACAATATTTATGTTAAAAAATATATAGTTGACATTAATTAGCAGCACTAATTTTGTTGAGCACAACTGCAATTTTCCTAACATATATTTAAATTTTGTAAACATTTTTTTCTTTTTTTCTTTTCATTACCTACATAAATATCACTAACCAAAGCAGTAGGAAAAGAGCATAAAACCTAAGCTGAACAAAGTGACAGTGTTCATAGACACTAATTTGTCACACAGAAGAAAAAAATGCAGTGGACTTAGATTATGGAACAAGTATATCATGGATTATAAAAATTAACATTTCAGGACTAACTTGCATTTAATTATTTTCAAGTTTATTTATTTAAGCTAGGTATTTTTGAATCTTATAAATAACAGCCACTTTCTAGAGCAAGCATTCCCTTATCCTTTTAGAATCACCGTTTGTACTTACATTGACTGGTGGCTTTCATATAGCTCAGGCACCAGCCAAGGGAAAGTTCAAGTTACAAGATGTGTCTTTTGCTCAGTGATTTACTTTTTTTTTCCTTACCAAATTCCTACAAGATCTATGTAGCATTTGCTTTAACAACACACTTTAATGGCTGATTTGATAAAATTAAAACAGCTAACCTAGCATTGGCTTTACCTGCATTATTTGCTTTCTAAATTTCCTGTCTCTGCCACAGCTTACTTTGAATAAATGTCCTTGATACTGCAAGGTACAAAATGCTTTCAATTTCTATTAAATCACCTTGTAGGTTCAGGTGAAATGGAAATCTAACAATTACAGAGATACAGATTCTCTGCCAGTCACATTAGAGAATTCTTGAAAAATATTTCAGCGGATTAGAAGCATTCCTACACATCTTGATTCAGTCAAAATGCCAACATCTGGCTCATTTATTTGAAATTTTAATTTCCCAAGAGTATTTTAAACATATAAAAAATACAAATAACTTTCAGAAAAATCCCTGAAGAACAGTAAAGGGAAAAAAAAAAAGAGCCCACTGTCACTAGAAAGTATTTAAAATTAAATATAAGTGAAATAGCCTGACATTTTCAGGCCGCTTACCGATATTTGTCTTCTAATCATTATGAAATATATGCCTGCTTACCTAAAAGACTGTTAGAGGATGATTACTTCATCCAACTTACCTATTTGACCTATCATAGTCATTAATATTGAACATATTTCTCCTCAAGCTTTAAGTGGTATCAAAGCTACCCTTTTGAAATGCTGTTTTATTAAGATGCTAAAAACTTTCTATAAACATTAAGGTAAATATCCTAGTTTATACATTCAGGTATTTACATGTTTTAAAATGACAAGTAGTAAATAAAAATCCTGAAATGGTTAGCACCAGCCTTGATAGGAGACAGAACGTCAGCAGGTGCAAGAAAAATTCTTTGTGCAGTTCAGTCAATAAACCTCATCCACTATCCAGGCACGGGACACCCTGCTACAGTGTCTGGTCCTGTTAAGAGCAGCGTTCCTCATCGTAAGGGGCAAAGTGCAATCGCAAATTGATTGAAGTCACTGAGCTCCCTCAGTGAATGGCTGGATTAGATGACCAGTCCTAAGATTCTCTGCCTTTTCGGCTAGAAAACCGTGCAGTGTTGTCTCAACTGCACTAGCAGATTGAGCCTTATTTACCAACACCGATCTAGAATTCATCTGGCATCTTAGCTCAAATATCCAAGTCTCTAAAAGTAAAATACTGTGTTAATGAACTAACCTGTTAAGTGTAGATTTTTTGTGTATAAAACTTTGTATTTTACAACAACGAAGCAGAACAAAAGCACAGTGTGACGCCAGTCACACAATTCAAAAAATACGGCCTCCAAGAGACTTTAGAGACTAGACTAACCTAACAAGGTCTGACGACATGCAGTACCCTGTGTCACCTGACGCTTTGGATAAGCTGAAACTTTTGAGAAAAGATGCTGCACTATAATTGGGAAATAAAGATTAAGGAAAATAGGAGAAAAGACAAAAAGCATTTTACTAGGGTGGAACAAATGATCGTATGAGTGGTGTACCTAATGGATCCTGCACGCTGAAAGACTCAGATACAGCAAGACCTCCGAATAAGAAATGAAAGGGTTGAGAGATGTCTCTTCGCTTTAAGACCACATCTAGCCTACAAACAGTAGTTTGGAAAATCAAATCTTAGGGTTTTCCCTCATATCTCTTTCTAAATCTCAGTGTAACTTTTTTGAAGTCTTTAAGCAAAGTGTTATCTTTAAACCCTTGTTTTTCTTTTATTATTGAAGATCTTGATCCATTTAAGTCTTTTGGAATGCAGAGTCAAAAGGAAATCCACAAGGAATGTGGATTCCCAAGCAACGCAATGGGTACTGTATTTCATAAGGGGTAAAGAACAATATGTATATGATATTATCTTACATCTTGCAAGGAGAAGGCTAAAGAGCGTGCAAGGGGAAAAATCAGGCATTGTGTCTATTATGTGTGAGATTATGCAATTGCATCTGAGTGTAGGGGAGAAACTAAACAGCAGGCCTTATGCACAGCTGACAAAAAAAGCTTTAAAAAGTTACCGCTGACGATCTGACTTGTAAGTGGCTGTCAGCTCGTCAAACATGGTGCTGTTCATTTCCATAAATGCCTTCAACACATTGTAGACTAAAGCCACAATAGCCCTGTGAAACATTAAAAAAGAAAAAAAGAAAGGAGTCTATTAGTTTCAGGTGAAACCAAACGTAAAATAAAACTGTCTTCTCTTACCGGCATTTCTGCGACCAATTCTGCTGTTGCAAGTATGATAATGTAAATTCTTTGATTTCAGTGAAACTACTTTTGATTAACATATTTAAAGGTGAGAATCAGCTTTCATGTCTCTACTGACTACTTAAATGGAGCAAACCAAAACTGTAGGGTAAAAGGTAACAACAGAAAGCTATTACACGTAACTACAGACTCTTCCCTCATGCTGTGGAGCAATTCCGAATGCAACTCCAGGGATTCAAATCATCAATGCTGGCAGAAGGAATAGAATTTAAACATGAAATGGGAGTGATTCATATTTCCTTATGATTTTTCAATGAAGCTGAATATTCAGTGCATCTATGCGAAATACAAGGCTATATTTCAAGAGTGATTTCCTTGTATGTTTCATATTCATTTTCACTTTGGTACAGCAAAAAACTCTTAAAAAAACCCCACAAATCCTTCAGATGAGTGCTGCAGTATCTGTGTAAAACTGTGTGTTTGTGCATATATATATATATATATATAAAATACATATATTTTATATATAAAAAAATATATATAGTATATATATATACACCTTTCTCTATAACATCTGCCTGCTTTGCTTATTGCTGTTCCTGACCTTACCCAAGGGCCAATACACCACTGCTTATTTGAATTCAAGTTGCTTAACTGCATAAAACATGACAGGCATGATCTGTTAGTACAGGAAGAAATGATGTATAATAATAATAATTTCAAAAAGGCTTCAAAGGCATTCTGTCCCACAAAGGTTCAAAAAAGGTAGAATCAGTTTACTCTTTTATACCATCTGACTGGATAACTAATGTAAAATATACTAGAATTTCCAAAGTAAGATAGGTCTGCCTATAGTCTGGCTATCTAGAGGTCAAAATTCCCTTCTGGCAGAGTTGAAGATAAAGAAAGAACAAAGCAACTGAAAAGGGAGAAGGGAAAGAAACGAATCTAAAAAAAACTTTCAAAGAATTTGGAATAGATTATCAACCAAGAGATCCCAGTTCCTGATCCACTACTATGGTTGTCATATTCAGACACGGGGCTGCTTAAGAAACAGCTCTTCAGCCAGGAGGCAGCGAATCAACATCACCGGTGCCAGGAACCTTTGGAGCTAACCTATACAGCAGACAAACTATGTGCCATTTCCCATGCACCCTTGGCTATCATCCACCTCTTTCAATAAATTTTCATTTTTGTTGCCTACATCTATAAATGTTCTTATAAATATAAAAATTCTTTAAATACCTTCTTTATTTTATATGTATCTTAACCTGGCTTGTGTGTCAAAGGTACAAAATTCCTGTGGGTATGAAAACTCTGCGAACTGGTATACTGGAATATTCTCATTCCCAGAAGCATCCTAGTGCATAGTATAAAAGGTTGGGCAGGAGCATGGGCAGGCTGGAGACTGGTAATGCGGTACTGTGCCATGGAAAGTGTCTTTTTGTGACCAGCGTTAGTTACAGAAGCTTTCCAGTAGCATTAGTTTCATCACGTAAGCACACAAACTTGAAGGTTTGGCTAGGTACAGAACAAAAAGACTAATGTTTGAAATATTTTACAAATACTTTACAGTAAGGTCTTGAAGCAACTGGGACCTGAACATAGCATAGCTTATTAAAAATACTGGGTTTACTAAACCATCTTGACTTAGAAAAGCTTTTGAACTAAAATATAAAATACATGGCATCTCACTGTAATAGGATTTTTCATTAAAACGCTTTCTACTAGGTCATTCAGTTTAAAACTAAAAATGCTGAATTAACAGGATATCAATATGAAGCA